TATAGAAGTATATTCAAAAAGGATATGTAGTAAACTGCAAATTGATAATCCAGATCTTAATAAATTTAACTATGCCACCAGTGTACTAGAAAGTAAATTAAACTGTATACACCCAAACTGGTAGTAAGAAATTACTAAAGTCAACCATTTTGGAAAAAGAATAAGTTACTGCAGGTAGTAGATAAAGGGTTGCTAAATAAGAAAACTAGAGAAAATTAGAGTTATAACAAGGTAATCTACAGCCTTTCTGATAGTTTAGTTATAATAATTGAAATATATAGTAAAGGCTACAAAAATAGAGTTCATAAGAAAATATAGATATAATGTTATATTGAGTGTCTAGAACAATAAGTAATCTAGTAGCACAAATGTAATATAACTATATGTAATAGTAATACAAAAAACTAAATAAAGTATAAGTTATAATTTGGTATTATAAAAAAAAAAGTATTAAATTTATTTAAATCTAAAAGAGTTACTTTTTTTGCAAATCTATTATACAAAATTTAGTTACAAATTGTCTGTTTAAAAACACTTATAACTATTTATTTTACTAAGACAAATATTTTGATTTTTTAAATAAACTTGTTCAGCATAATATTATATGTATATTTTGTAAATATTAAGTTTTTAAGTTTTAAATTTATTTAGAAAACTGTACTAATGGCCTTTAGTCTTTAGTTTTAACAATTTATTTTTTTATATTTTTTTCTGTTATAACCTATTTTATGTTTTTAAATAAAGTTGTAGTACATATTTATTTAGTTAAAACAAGCTTTAAGAATTTTAATCTAATATTAACTAAACTACAGCTAAATTTATTATTTACTTTTTTGCAAAAAATTTTTTTTATTGTTTGTTTACTTTAGTTTTATTTTTTTATTTTTTTTTTAAGATAACCTTTTGGATCTTTTGACTTTTATTAACACTTATAGTAATATGTTTTATATAAAACTACTACAAAAAGAAAATATATATAATTTTCTATATTATCTATTTAAGAAGTCTAACTGAAGATTTCTATTAATTGTTATACTTAATACTTCTGTCTAGATGTTTTATTTTAAACCTTCTGAATCTGCAACCTATGTTAACTTTTCTAAAATATGTTTAATTCTTTGTTTCAATTTTAGAACTATTTTATTTTTAAGATAAACCTCTTAAAACCTTTTGTATATACATTTTATAGCTAACTTAGTATTACTATAGCTAAACAAACACTTGTGGCCAAAACCAGCCATTAAAAAATTATGTTCTTATAGAATTTACCCAAACCTTAGTACTACTTTATAGTATATTTTAATTACTTTAAAATACTCTACTTTTGTCTTAAAACTTCCAATTCAGTAGCTAATAGAACTATAATTAATCTATTTGTATATCAGATTAACCCAATATTTTTTTTTGATCTAATTTTGATAGTCTAATTAGTAGAATTTCTTATTTGAAGTTCTTATCTATTTAGTTTTTTTATATTAGTATCTGTTTTCTAAAGCTAATCTTTATAATAATATCTTTAAAGATTTGTGCTATTTCTATACTTGAATCTTTTTAAATAAACTTTTTGTTTTTTAATTACTTTATATTTATACAGTTACAAGAACTTATCTTAGGTTGTACTGCCTGATGCTGGTTTGCATTTCTTTGTATAACTAATTATACAAATGTTCTATAACTTATCAATTATGCTAATATAATTATAATTATAGGCATCTTAGTTTATTTATTAAAAACAGTTGCTATAATATAGATAAAAATTCAAATTTTGACATTAGAGGATTTTGAACTTGCAACCTCCCACTTAAAGGATTGACAACTTATTCACTTTACTAAGTCATTACATTTCTTAGTTTGCTTTTATTTCCTTATATTTTTTATATAAATATATAATTATTTTCTAATTTATATTTTGCTAATTTGTATCAAAATTTTAATTTATCTTGTAATAAAAATTTATTAAACTTAAATTACTTATTTTTATATTTGATTTTTTTATTATTGTATAACAATTTTTATTTTATATTTTATTATCTAAGCATATCAGTAAATTCAATTATTATAATCATATTTTAGTACTACTTTATACTACACAAGTTATACCTCAATATTACAACTTTTCTTTTACTTACTATCTCTAAAATATTAATTATTTGTGATAATATTTTTTTAAAAATTTTCAAAGTTCTTAATATAAAATTTATCAAACTTGTTTATATATTAATATGCCTACTTTCATTCGTTAAGACTTTAATATAGCAAATCTTGATTACTTTTAATAAAACTTTTTTAAAAGTTTTGAAATTATCCTCTATAAAGAAGAAGTAACAGTAATTTTATTTAATTTCTTTTAAAATTTAGTTTAATTTTTGGTTAATAAAAATTTATATTATACAAAATTACTTATTTTTTCAAACCACTATTTTTTATTTTAATGATTACTTGTATTTGTAGTAAATATTATAACAAATTGTCTTAATTTTAAATACTAATCATACTAAATCTACTAAATTTACTATGTTTATATTAATAATAACTTTAAAAATTCAATTAACCAACTCAGTAACTTATATTTAAGCTTTCTTTTTTTACTGATAGTGTTTTCCTATCTTCTATATTTAATATAAATTATTACACTTGTTCTAAATATTTAGTCTCAATTATCTGTGAAATAAGCGGGATCGCTTAAAAAGCACGTATAGGAAGATTGATAGGTTGCAAGGTAAAAGTTAATTCAAAGAGACGTACAGTACATATGTACGATAAGTAAACAAAGATCTGAATTACACCTTAATTTGAGTAAAGTCATAGGCTTAAACGATCTATAAAAACGATAAATTGTAAGGTATGTTGAAATTTAAAAGTGATAAAATAAAACCTTACGTTAATGTCAAGATTAAATCCAATTGCAATTGTATAATGCATACTAAGATTTTATAAGAAATTTTCCAGTGTAGAAAGTGATTTATTTATAAAAATTACGCTTATATTTTCAATATACGATTTACTGATATATTTTAATTTTTGAATAATTAGATTTTATAGTAAAATTAATACTGTTATGACAAATATTCAATTCTTTCAGAGTATTGTTTTTGCAAAGTGCATCTGCTACAGCTTTTCCACCTTCTGGTCCAAGATGATTCAAACAAAGATTTAAAGAAGTCAATGTAGTATTCTTGCAAAGTGCATCAGCGAATGCTTTTCCTCCTTTTGGACCAAGATTATTCTCACTAAGATCCAAATAAGTCAACGTAGTGTTCTTGCAAAGTGCATCTGCTAATACATTTCCTACTGATCCAAGATTATTTAAACTAAGATTCAAAGAAGTCAGCGTAGTGTTCTTGCAGAGTGCATCCGCTAACGCTTTTCCTCCTTCTAAGCTAATATAATTATAATAAAAACTCAAAGAAGTCAGCGTGATGTTCTTGCAAAGTGCACCTGCTAATGCTTTTCCTCCTTCTGGTCCAAGATTATTAAAACCAATATTTAAAACTTTCAGTGTAGTATTATTGCAAAGTGCGTCTGCTAAAGCTTTTCCGACATCTGATCCAAGATTATTGTGACCTAGATTCAAAGAAGTAAGTATAGTGTTTTTGCAAATTGCAACTGCTAATGCTCTTCCTCCAAATGAACCGAGGTTATTATCACAAAGATTTAAATCTTTCAACGTAGTGTTATTGCAAAGTGCGTCTGCTAATGCTTTTCCTCCATGTGATCCAAGATTATTATCTTCAATATTCAAAAAAGTCAGCGTAGTATTCTTGCAAAGTGCATCCGCTAATGCTTTTCCTCCTTCTAATCCAAGATTATTATGATAAAGACTCAATGAAGTCAGAATAATATTCTTGCAAAGTGCATTTGTTAATATATTTCTTTCTTCTGGTCCAAGATTATAATGAAAAAGATTCAAAGAAGACAATGTGGTATTCTTGCAAAGTGCACCTGCTAATATTGTTTTATTAGTATCTTTATTAAGTGTTAAATGTTTAAGATTTTTACTTGCTCGTAGAAACATTGTAACTAAAGAGACTTTAATAGCATTTGCAACTTCATCATTATATATTTCGACATTATATCCTTCATTTTTAAGCCAGTCACTGACTCCGTTGGCCAATTGAATTCCAACAGATGTGGTATAACTTTCATACTCAAATAATGGCCTTGGATAATTTGAAAGATCGATTTTAAATGGAATTAATAAAGTTTGCTCTTCAGTATTTAATGCTAAAAGATATGATCTTATAAGTCTTAAATCAATAAAATAATTTGTAGGTTCACTCCATAATATTGGTATAATAATCCTACACCATCGACGGTTTACAAGAAGGCACGAAAATAAAGGTTTATAATCCGTCTGAAAATTATTAAATATTTCGAAGAGACATTCGTTTGGTAAAATTATCATTTTGAAAAGAAAATTATTAATACAAGGGCAAAAATTGGATTTTGCCTCCGATATATATAGCTTAATACAAATGTTGTGAAACGATGGCTCCCTCGATGTGATTAGTTAGGTGATCGATGTGTTACACAAATTAATTGAGTGATTAGTGTGGCTAATCGAACAACTTATTAAAAATTCGCTGTACAAAATACCGATACGAGTTCTAAATTTTATCGGAGAGCAACTCTAAAAAAAAAGGTCTTTACGTCTAATTTTTATAGAAATGGTAAATAATGCTTGAGAGCACCCTAAATCAAATAAAAGAAACTGTTTTACTAATCCAATGAGCCTTTTAATTTAGTCAAATATTTGTAAATAAATACAGAATTAAGAATTGAAGCAAAGAAAGATTATATTGATGTTTTGCATTAATCATACAATTTGCTGATTCTCAATCAAAGTGAATACTGAACAGTATCGTGACCAAGAATAAATATAAAACTGCGCTATGGTAATAGGTTTTCTGCATGAGTTTACATAATTGTATCATGTTACACTACAAATTCATAATTAATTATAAAAACCGTTATGTTTAACAAATAGATACTTTACCACGATGATGCTATATAAATTAATCGTTCTTGGAGCTGGAGGCGTTGGAAAAGTAAAATTATCTTTTAATGAGCATCTGAATTAACTAATGAAATTGATATTAATTGTTTGAAAATTTTCTATATTCAGACGGCTCTTATAGCTCGGGTTAGTCTTTCAACTTATTGTATTAATTAATTATTAGAAATTTTAAGCTTACTTTACTTTTTAATTTTAACGGATTATTTGTCATTCTCAATTATAGTTGTGCTTAAATCAATTTGTTGGTAGGAATATCATTAATATACAGTCAGCTCCTTTTATAACGAACTGATAGTTCTGGAAGAAAAAATTTCGTTATACTATAGTATCCAGAATTCGTTATAGAAAGGTTGTTATATTGTATCCAGGGTCAACTGTACTGTGAATTTGATCCAATTACTATATTTTAAGTAATTTACATTGAATTATTTCATTTTTAAATAGAGGTTTGTGTTTCTGTAGTTCATTACCTTCTCATTGTAATTCATTAACTAAAAAATGTTCATAATTAGACTTATGATCCAACGAAAGAAGATTCATATCGAAAACAAGTTGTTATTGATGGTGAATCATGTGTTTTAGAAATACTGGATCAAGGTTTGTAGATATTATTTAAATAGTGTATATTATGTCTTTTTAATTATATTTGTTAGGATTATGTATATGAAAAATGTTATAATTAAGAATGTTAGGGGATCAACTATTATTGTTTTTATTTCTCTAACAAATGAGTCAGTCTTTACCATTATGATTATTCGAGACAATTCTTAAATTCAAAAATCAGATATTTAATCACAGACATTTAAGATAAAAAAAAGCTTTGCCCGAGAATTGTAACGAATCATAACATAATAATACTGTAATACGCAACAAACTTGTTATTAGTAGAATGTTTACTCAAGAATGTCGATCAGAAGTCTCGAATACTAATAATAATTTCATGCAGAATTTTCAAAGTATTGTCAAACAATATTTACTTATTTTACCCTGTTTCAATTAAATTTAACAGAATATACACCTTTATACGATCAATTGTACAGGTATAATAGTAATTGCCTGTTAAGGCGTTTCCTAAAAAATATAAATCGAAAAATAGATCTTCTGAATTTGATAAAACCAATTTGTTTCGTTTCAGAGAGGCTGATGGCTTTCTACTCGTATACAGTATATCTTCAAGATCAACAGTTGAGCTCATAGATCGATTTTATGATAGCATTACACGTGTAAAGGACACTGAGCCCATTCCAATGATTCTTGTTGGTAATAAATGTGACCAAAGGACTATGCGTGAGGTTTCAAGGGAAGAAGGCATGAATATGGCAAGAAGGCTTAAATGCGACTTTATAGAAAGTTCTGCAAAAACTGCTGTTAATGTGGAAAGAACGTTTTACTCTGTGGTTAGAATGATAAGGCGGAATAGAGAAGAAGGAAAAGATAGCAGAAGGAACAAAAAGAAAGCAAAGTGTACGATCTTGTGATTTGAAACTTTGGATTCAAATATTACTTATTTCTGCCAACAAAAGGATAAAATAAAAGTCTTATTCGTTCATGCATCCAAAATTTTTTTTATTCAATATAAAGCCAAAGTAAAAATTAAATTATTTATAGATTTGTCTCATAGTGAAATACATATAAAAAAAAAGATTTTGTATTTGTCTTGAAAAAAAGCTTCTAATTATGTTCCAAGAATTTTTTTTTTGATAAGGATAATAAGAATTTTTAACAAATAAAGCATTATTGAGTGATTTCCTTTATTTTACTTTACTTGTCGAGCAAATTATAATTTTCAATTGGCATAACGAGATTTTATGTAAAATAATAGGACTTCATTCCGTATTAAGTCGTTATATTAGAATTAACTTATTAATAAGCGTGAGTCTAAAAGATCTCATTTCTGCTTTAAAATTCCGAACCAGAAATTAATTAGTAGTAACTGGTGATAAAATTGGCTTCTTTTGATAAATATCTACCAGTAAACGACTAAGTAAATAAGTATATATTTTAATAAAATAAAATTTATACGTCACTTATTTTGAAATAAATGTACAGCTTATTTGACTGAAATCGGACGTCTGGATCATTAAGTATGAAACTCTTCATTGCAAAAAATGATACTTATGAAAGAATTGATGAAAATTTGCTATTACAGTATTTGGGTACTGTGTGATGATATATTAATAACCTTCGCTTAGTAACACAATTTAGACGTGCCAAATGAGTGTAAAATTTTGACATTTCCATTGCTAGAGAGGTGTTTATTTGATGTGATATTTACATATTAAAAACTGTTGCTAATACCATGAATGGAGTGATGAAATCACGAAATGTATGTTTTACCGATGGAATAAATGATGTGAGCCCGCAAAATCTTTTGTCCGATTGGTCAGCGTGACCCGCTCGTTACGTATCACTTGCTTTAGTCGTTCAGAATTTTTGAGACAAATAGTGGTCCTCTTTTTAACTTAATAATGATATCTAATTACTCGATTAAATCGTAAATCTCTATCAATACACCTCATGCTTAACGGCAAAATATGTAACCATACATAAATCATTTCTCGTTTTATATCAAAATAAATATAGTAATGTATTACTCGTTACGCTTAACAATCTGTCTGCACAGGATTGTCGCACCAAACCTAAATATTTGACCACGTTACCTATAATTACTACATTCGCACTGATAAAAATTAAAAAAATTCTTCTCAGATGACGTAATTTGAATATCACTTTTTTTACGTTTAAAACTACTTTTGCAAAGATTTAAAAATCGAAATCTTCCGCTCCTGGTTTCAGCGCGATCACGTCGCAGGTACTAGTTTAAGAGCAACAGGAGGAATCGTCAATGTTACCTTACTGATCCTTCACCTGGTGTGCAACGTATCTAAAAATTATTTCCTAATACCAAATCACTTCGCTAGTACATGTTATGATTATAATCCCACACCATTTTATTATAATAAAAATGGTGTGGGATTATATTATAACATGTACTAGTGGAATGATCTGGTATTGGAAAGTAATTTTTTTATATTTTGAACATCGACGGTTCTTCCTGTTTTTAAGAGCATGAAAACTTGGTTTTGTTGTGTGAATCATTGCAAACTCTTTAAAAGTATGGCGCGAAATTGCAATTTCTGAGCAGCACATCAATTACTTGTAGTCAATTTACTAAATTCGAGAAAATTAACTACTATAACTTATAGCCACGGAAATATATCAATTGCCTTTTGTTTTTCAGAATTATGGAGATTTCAACTTTATCATTAAAATAAATTTTCGAATATATGTAATAATAATATCTTGGATCGTTGGGTATTAGTGACCCAAGATATTATTAATTAATACCCTGACCTCTCACATGAAAAAAAATACGTCATTATCTCGTACGTTTAAGCTTATATGAAATGATATTAATTTGATAATTCAAATATATAATTCAATTTCCCTTTCTCTTTTA